ACTTTTACTGGAAAGACAGCCTCTATGAGAATGATTCCACAGCTGGGAATGAGTGAAGAGCCCACACCCTGCCCCGCCATAACTTTAACCACTAGGCCCTGCACCTGACTACGTCTGCTATTGTTTCAGCCTGCTCCAATTTCTCTGACCAGGCAGACTGTCCAAACGGGGAAACTCTCCCAGCTGTTCAGTTGCAGGAGAAGCATCTTGAACTCAACAAACCAAAAAGACCTTTTGTGGGCATTAAAAATGGCCCACAAAGGGGGAAACCCCCCTCCATTCCCACAAAGGGGGAAAAAGCTGGATCCAACTAGCTAGAAAAGCTCACGGCCGCCCCTATTGGTAAATAAACTTCGATGCCCGCGGAGCACCGGAGAAGAAGCCGGTGACCTGCCTCCAACACGCCCCTTGAAACCAACCAATCACGGGAGAGGCGCTCAACAAGGGCACCGTCTGCCCTGCTGCCTCCTGCCAAGGAAGCCAAGGCCGGCCCACCGGCGGGCGACACCCCCCCCTTGCCCGCTATTGAAAATGCCTTTGGGCAAAGAACCTCCTTTAAAAAAAGCAAACTGGGCATGTCCCACCCAAAGCTTCTCCTCCCAATTCCAGAGTTCTTTGGTTTTGGGCATGGATTTCATTTTTGAATTGGAGGGTTGCGGGGGGGGGGGTGTTGGGCTTAAGCCCCGGGCGTTTGGCCGTGTTTTCTCAGGAGCAAATCCCACTCAATTCAGGGGGGCTCACTCCCCGCTCCCCCCCCCCCCCGGAAGCATGCCCCCTGTTGCAGGTTTCCATGTGCAAACAGTAGGATTAGTTCATCCAAATATTCAGTGCAAAAAACCCACGATGGGTTTTGAGGGTTTTTTTTGCTTGTGGTTGCATGACTGCTAGCACATCGGAGGCCGCATGGCATGCACCAGAGATGGGGACAAGTAGCATCACATTAAGATGTGATCTAGTGACCAGGAGATGCAGAGTTCTAGTCCTGCCTTAGGAATGAAAGCTGACTGGGTGACTTTGGGCCAATCACCAGGAGACTGGGAGTTCTAGTCCTGCCTTAGGAATGAAAGCTGACTGGGTGACTTAGGGCCAATCACTAGGAGACTGGGAGTTCTAGTCCTGCCTTAAGCATAAAAGCTAGTTGGGTGACTTTGGGCCAATCACCAGGAGACTGGGAGTTCTAGTCCTGCCTTAGGAATGAAAGCTGACTGGGTGACTTTGGGCCAATCACTAGGAGACTGGGAGTTCTAGTCCTGCCTTAGGAATGACAGCTGACTGGGTGACTTTGGGCCAATCACCAGGAGACTGGGAGTTCTAGTCCTGCCTTAGAAATGAAAGCTGACTGGGTGACTTTGGGCCAATCACTAGGAGACTGTGCGTTCTAGTCCTGCCTTAGGAATGAAAGCCAGCTGGGTGACTTTCAGCCAATCACCAGGAGACTGTGAGTTTTAGTCCCGCCTTAAGCATGAAAGCTGACTGGATGACTTTGGGCCAATCACCAGGAAACAGCGAGTTCTAGTCCCGACTTAGGAATGAAAGCTGACTGGGTGACTTTGGGCCAATCACCAGGAAACAGCGAGTTCTAGTCCTGCCTTAGGAATGAAAGCTGACTGGGTGACTTTGGGCCAATCATCAGGAGACTGGGAGTTCTAGTTCCGCATTAAGCATGAAAGCTAGAGGGGTTACTTTGGGCCAATAACCAGGACAAGGTGAGTTCTAGTCCCACTTTGGGCAGGAAAGCCGGCTGGGTGCTTTGGATCCAGTCCTTCTCTCTCAGCCCAACCCACCTCACAGGGTTGTTGTTGTTAGGTATAACATTGATACCAAATATAGTTTGGGTGAATAAATATATAAAACTTAGATATCATGGTTTAAGTGCTTATCACTTTAAGCACAATGCAGCAGGCAATTAGCCGATTAAGGGTGCGGTTAGAAGTTACAATATAAGGAAGCATTAGAAGCTGGAAAGCTTACTGTGAGTTACTCTTACTGACTGTAACTGTGTGCTGCTGCGACTTACTGTGTGATACTGCGACTAACTGTGATTACTGACTGTGAGTGCCTGTGACTGAACTGTTTTTGTTTGCTACTGTTTGCTGAATATCCAGCGTTTGTTTCTCTGGAGAGTGAAACCGGAGGAGGAGAAGATATCTTTATCGGCTGATAAAGATATTGCAAGGACTCTTAACTTGTACTATACTAGTGAGTCTTACTGGATGGAAATACTGTGAATGACTTAATGGACTGAATGACAATGCTTAAACTCTAACTGGATTAAAAACTATTTAAACTACAAACAGTGTTTGTGTTCAGTGTGTGTATACTCTGGGGCCCTTCCGCTCTCCTTTGGCTTCCTGGCTTGACTACTGCTGCAATACTCTGCTAGGGGTTAATTCCCAAAACCCTAACAGTTGTTTTGGGGAAAACAGCACGAGGAAGAAACATTAAGCACGCTCACTGCCTTGAGTTATTTACAAATGTTATTTACGGGCAGGATGCAACGAAATAAAATGAAATAAATGGACTGCACAGGTCTAGTAGAACAACGAGCATTGTAATTCAACAGGCCCTGAGGGCAAAAGATAAGGAAAGGTTACACATACATGTGTACACACACACACAAACACATGCACACACAAACATACAGAGCTAAATACATCTGATTTCAAACAGGCCTCCCTTCCCAATTATCAGCACGAATTGTGAAGGTTATTTATTTCATTTGAGACTGCATCCCCATCTAATCCACCCAATATTTTTCAACCTTCTAACTAGGGAATTCTGGGAGTTGGAAGTCCATACATCTTATAAAGTTGAAAAATACCAGGTTAAGTCTTGGACAAGGGGCTGGGGAACTGGGAAATCTAGTTTCACGCCCAACTTTGCAGGTGTCCTCAGCCAGGTTGATGGTGGATGATGGCCCAATCTCTCTTATTTGTGAAATGATGTGTTGGATTTATGCAGTATAGCCGCCCACCTCAACAAACGGATTCCACTTCCTTTTTGCAAGGTTGTTGGGGGTGGGGGGAAAAGAGAACTTTTGCACATACGTGCAACACAGCATTTGCACACATGTGCAACACATTACACACAGAGGAGTAAGGGTCTTCGGATCTTCACCCTACACTCCTTTTAAAACAGAGCTCTCCAAACTTGGGAACTTGAAGATGTGGGGGGACTTCAACTCCCAGAATTCCCCAGCTGGACAGTTGGTCTCCCCACATCAATTCCCAGAATTCCCCACATCTTCAACTTCCCAATTTGGGGGACCATCCTGCCAGATCTTTTCAGAGAACAAAAAGGAGAGGTCTTGTCTTGCGAAGATTCCAGCCCCCTCTTGACCACAAGGTGGTAGCCTCCAGAGTTACTGGACAACGACGCTCAATCTCCTTGGCTGGGCTGGCTGGGGAGTGTGGGAACTGTAGTCCCTTTGCTCTGGAAGGCAGGGGACGATGGGTCATCCCTGCCTTCTCTAATCACCCCTCGGAGCCCAAGTGGTCCATTTCCCACCCTGTCAGGTCAGCCATCCTTCTGGAGGGGGGTGGGGTGTCTCTGTCAAGACCAGGGGGGTCTCCAAACATGGCAACACGAAGACTTGTGGACTTCAACTCCCAGAATTCCCATTTCCTTGCCTGCTGGCTGAGGGATTTTGGGACTTGAAGTCCACAAGTCTGAATGTTTACTAAGTTTGAAGATTCCCCTGACTCAAGGCCTTTGCAAAGACTTTTGGGGAGTCCCAAATAACGCCACACACACACACACACCCTGCTTAAGGGGAGCCCCCCCCCCAACATTCCTCCCTCCCATCTGGGGAAGCCCTCCCACCAATACCTCTCACCCATTCCCTGGCTAGGGCAATTCATCCATAAGGACCACCGATGCAATAGACACCCATGGAGACCCCCCACTTCTTGGAGCCCTGGTGCCCCCCTGCAATTGCAGCCCCCCAGATCCCAGAGCACCCCTCCCCAAGGAAGCCCCCCACCCCCATACCTCTCTCACCCATTCCTTTGCTAAGGCAATTCACCCATAAGGACCACCGACCCAATAGCCACCCATGGAGACCCCCATCTTCCCCCCTCTTCTTGGAGCCCTGGTGGCCCCCAAGACCCCCTTTGCAATTGCAGCCCTCCCCAGATCACCCCTCCCCAAGGAAGCCCCCCACCCCCATACCTCTCCCACCTATTCCCTGTCTAGGGCAATGCATCCATAAGGACCACCGACCCAATAGCCACCCAT